ATTTAACCTTTTACGACTTAAATCTTATCATAACATTTTCCAGTTGTGTAAAGAAAAAGTACACAAGCAGAATGAAAAAAGAAACATTTATTTCAGTCTTATTTGCCTCAAAAGTTACACAATGTTACACAACTTTACTCCATCCATCCATTTTCTTCCGCTTATCCGGGGCCGGGTCTCGGGGGCAGTAGTCTAAGCAGGGACTCTCAGACTTCCTTCACCCCGGACACTTCCCGAGGGAGACGTTCATAAAAATAAAACAGAAACACACGTTAAAAGAACTAAACTTAAAAAAGAAAAAAGATCAAACATGTTGCTTTAACCAGGTCTAACAAGAATCAAACAAACCAGGATTAAACCAAGTCTGACAAAGGTCTAAACCGGGACAAAACCAGGACTAAACTATGGCTAAACCAAGACTATACCAGTACTAAACCAGGACTAAACCAGGGCTAAATGAGGACTAAACCAGGGCTAAACAAGGACTAAACCAGGGCTAAACGAGGACTAAACCAGGGCTAAACCAGGGCTAAACAAGAACTAAACAAGGACTAAACCAGGGCCAAACCAAGACTAAACCAGGATTAAATTAGGACTAAACCAGGACTAAACCAGGGCTAAACCAGGACTAAACCAGGGCTAAACCAGGACTAAACCAGGACTAAACCAGGACTAAACCAGGGCTAAACCAGGACTAAACCAGGACTAAACCAGGACTAAACCAGGACTAAACCAGGACTAAACAAGGACTAAACCAGGGCTAAACCAGGACTAAACCAGGACTAAACCAGGGCTAAACAAGGACTAAACAAGGACTAAACCAGGACTAAACCAGGGCCAAACCAAGACTAAACCAGGATTAAATTAGGACTAAACCAGGACTAAACCAGGACTAAACCAGGGCTAAACCAGGACTAAACCAGGACTAAACCAGGGCTAAACCAGGGCTAAACCAGGACTAAACCAGGACTAAACCAGGACTTTTACACCTCAACTGGCTCCTCTCGACCTGTAGGAGCAGCAACTCTACTCCGAGCTCCTCCCGGTTCACTGAGCTCCTCACCCTGTCTCTAAGGGAGCGCCCATACTTTACTCATACTTTTGCAGTGTTATTTACGCAATGAATGATTTTTTTTAATATATATATTTAATTTAACTCAACTTCTCAAATTCTTGTGGACAAGTTGTGAAGAATACTGTCGTTTTATAGTTGAGTTATTTAAAGATGCAGTGTGTAACCTTTCTGGAATGCATGGAATGTTGTACAGTACGACATTAAACCACTGCAAAGAAAAAGTACACGTGATAAATCTTGTTTGAGCTTTCATACATTGAACGATGAGCTGATATAGTAATTATAGTAGAAACAGTCACACACCGTCCATTATACTGATGCATGACAGAATCCAAGGTCCATGAGTTATAAAGTAAAGTCATAAATTTCACTCTTTGATTCGAGATTGTTAGTGATTTCATGTGGGCGTAAAAAGGATACAGCTTATGATAGGAATTGTTGCATCATTCTTCACTTCTCCAACCATTTTATTTGTGATGTCTTTATAATACGTGAAGAAAGTTATTGGTTATAATTAGTTCTGAATAGACCAATATAAAAGTCAAGGAACTGTATTATGTTTCATGTCTTAGTTTTATATATTCTGTGATATAATAATGCTTTTCTAGTTCCAAAATGTTCTAAAATTCTAATTTAAAAAGCTGATCCAGTTGAAAATTACTCCTTACACAAAAATATATGAATGTAACTATGGGATAACCAGTTGCTAAATTATAATTACTGTTAAATTTGTTGCGTTTTAATGACTTCATACAACAAATCTTGGTTAAGACTCCAAATTATATTAAGTGTGCATGTTATTTTTGTTTATTTTTAATTTTGTTTATTTTGGCCAAACCTCCTCATCAAAAACTGATGTCGTCAAATCTCAGAAAACTGTTGTTGTGTTTGAGTGAGGGGCTGATGGATCAGATTGGCAGCCTCTCTTCTGTCAGTCTGTCCCAGGGCAGCTGTGGCTACAATATTATCTTACACCACTGGGTCTGGAGTGAATGAATAATGCAACAAATTGAGTTTTGAGCTGAGGTCAAAACTAAATCTGTTTCTAGTCTTTGACCTGAAGTCCGAGTCGAGTCCCAAGTCAAATACAGACAAGTCCGAGTCAAGTCCCAAGTCGAGTCTCAAGTCAAATACAGACAAGTCTGAGTCAAGTCTCAAGTCAAATACAGACAAGTCCGAGTCGAGTCCCAAGTCAAATACAGACAAGTCTGAGTCGAGTCTCATGTCAAATACAGACAAGTCCAAGTCGAGTCCCAAGTCAAATACAGGCAAGTCCGAGTCAAGTCCCAAGTCAAATACAGACAAGTCCGAGTCGACTCCCAAGTCAAATACAGACAAGTCCGAGTCGAGTCCCAACTCAAATACAGACAAGTCCAAGTCGAGTCTCAAGTCAAATACAGACAAGTCCGAGTCGAGTCCCAAGTCAAATACAGACAAGTCTGAGTCGAGTCCCAAGTCAAATACAGACAAGTCCGAGTCGAGTCCCAAGTCAAATACAGACAAGTCTGAGTCGAGTCCCAAGTCAAATACAGACAAGTCCAAGTCGAGTCTCATGTCAAATACAGACAAGTCCAAGTCGAGTCCCAAGTCAAATACAGACAAGTCCAAGTCGAGTCCCAAGTCAAATACAGACAAGTCCGAGTCGAGTCCCAAGTCAAATACAGACAAGTCCGAGTCGTGTCCCAAGTCAAATACAGACAAGTCCAAGTCGAGTCTCAAATCAAATACAGACAAGTCTGAGTCGAGTCCCAAGTCAAATACAGACAAGTCCGAGTCGAGTCCCAAGTCAAATACAGACAAGTCCGAGTCGAGTCCCAAGTCAAATACAGACAAGTCCGAGTCGAGTCCCAAGTCAAATACAGACAAGTTCGAGTCGAGTCCCAAGTCAAATACAGACAAGTCCGAGTCGAGTCCCAAGTCAAATACAAACAAGTTCAAGTCGAGTCTCAAGTCACCTGCCCATAAGTCCCAGTCAAGTCCAAGTCGTCTGCTTTGAGTTTCAATTCATTTCAAGTCTTTAAACCAAAAAAGTACCAAATATAGTTTAGATTTTTGCAATTTATATGGATTTTAAGATAAATTGTTCTTAAAAAATCATAGTATATTTCAATGAGTATTAATAGAGTATTTAAGAGTTGTGGAAATGTTAATGTTTCCTTTTTTAAATGTCTTGACAATATCTTAGAGTGAATCATTACAGTCAGAATAGAACGAATTCAGATTTAAAAGTGCTTCTCACGTCTTCTCAAGTCCGAGTCAAGTCCCAAGTCATTGACCTTCAAGTCCAAGTCGAGTCCCAAGTCTTATTTAGTCCATTTTATCAAGTCAAGTCTCAAGTCCTAAAAATAGTGACTCAAGTCTGACTCACGATTTGCAAGTCTTCACCTCTGGTTTTGAGTGTCTGGAAAAGCTTTATATAAAACTAATGCATTATTATTATCATTTATTTGTTTGTTGTGGATCTCTATTAGTGCAGTAAATATGTTAATCTTCTTCCTGATTTTTGCTTTACACCATTAATTAGTCTCCCATTACTTAGTTAATTGAAATATTTTGGTACGTGACACTTGATCATAAGCAGTGACATTATAAACCCGCTCAGCTCTGACTGTCGTTCTAATATTTCCTCTTTTACTCACACTCATCACCAAGACTCAAACTCTGCATGACGCTGTTCGCTCCACTGACTCCAGATGATTCAACGTCATCTGCTTCTATCGTCTGAGGCGCTTCTTCACCTCCCTCTCTTTTCCTCTCTCTTTCTCAGCTCCTTCTCTCCTCTCTTACCCTCCTCTCTTTACCCTACTCCCTCTGTCCTGTCTCGCCCTTTCTCTTCTACCTCTTGCTTCTCTATTGCATCTTCCCCCTCTCTCCCCTTCTCTCTTCTCGCCCTCTCTCTCCCTCTCTTCCTCTTCCTGTCCACTCTCCTTCTCCTCTCCACCTCTCTCTCCTCTCTCTCCACCTCACCTCTCCTTCGCTCTCTCCCCCTCTCTTCTCCCTCTTGCTTTCCTCACTCCCTCCTCTTCTCTCTCTCTTCTCTTTCTATCCACTCTCTATCTCCTCTCTCCTGTCCATCCCTCTCTCCCCCCACCCCTTCTTTTCCTCTCTCTTCCCCCTCCTCTCCCCCTCTCTCCTCTTTCTCTCTCTCCCTTCTCTCTCTCTCTCTCTCCTCTCTCCTCATTCTCCCCTTCTCTCTTTCCCCCTCTCCCTCTCTCTTTTTCCCCACTCTCCTCATCCCCCTTCTCTCTCTCTCTCTCTCTCTCTCTCTCTCTCTCTCTCTCGCTGTCTCTCTCCTATCCCTCCCTCCTCCCCCCTCTCCCCTTCTTTTCCTCTCTCTCTACCCCTCTCTCCCTTCTTCCTCCTCTCCTCTTCCTCTCTTCTCCTCTCCCCCCTCCTCATTCTCCATCTCCCCCCTCTCTTTTCCCCGCTCTCCTCATCCCCTTCTCTCTCTCTCTCTCTCTCTCTCCCCCTCTCTCCTCATTCTCCCCCTCTCCCTTTCCCCCTCTTTCTCTCTCTCCTCCCTCTCTCACTTCTATCTCTATCCACTCTCTATCTCCTCTCTCCTGTCTCTCTCCCTTCTCTCTCTCTCGTTCTCCTATCCCTCTCTCTCCCCCCTCTCCCCTTCTTTTCCTCTCTCTCTACCCCTCTCTCCCCCTCTTCCTCCTCTCCTCTTCCTCTCTTCTCCCTCTCTCTCTCTTTTGCTCTCCTCTTTCTCCTCCTCCCCTCTTCTCTCTCTCTTCCTCCTCTCTCTCCCCCCCGCCCCCCTTCCTCTCTCCCTCCTTCTCTCTTTTCTCTCTATCCACTCTCTATCTCCTCTCTCCTGTCTCTCTCCCTCTCTCTTGTCCATCCCTCCCCCTCCCCCCTTCTTTTCCTCTCTCTCTCCCCCCTCTCTCCTCATCCCCCTTCTCTCTCTCTCTCTCTTTCCCCCTCTCTCTGCTCATTCTCCCCCTCTCTCACTTCTCTCTCTGTCCACTCTCTATCTCCTCTCCCTGTCCCTCTCCCTCTCTCTTGTCCATCCCTCTCTCCTTCTGCCTCTCCCTTTTCTTACTCTCTCTCTATTCCTCCCCCCTTCTCTCCCTCCCTCCTTCTCTCTCTCTCTTCTTGGGGTTTATTTTTGGACAGTCACGCCCCGCTCCGGTACAAGCTGCACCCAGGTCACACTTCACACTGACACTCTCTCTCCGAGCCCTGGGACTAAACCAGAACTAAACCAGGACTTTCCCTCCGCTACTATGGATCCAACTTAACTAGACCTGGCTCGGACTTCCTTTTAATTCCACTCGAGGATTTTGATTTTTAAACAATGACGGATACTGGCGACAAAGACCCTGAAATTGAACTTTTTGTGAAGGTGGGATCTTGAACAATTCCTAAATTTATAATTACACACATTTACATTTTTATCTTTGAAATTACGCAGGATTTTCTCGATTACAAACTCAATCTTAACCTGTTTTGTCTTTGTTTTGGTTGCTGGGCCCTTTAAGACACATGCCTTGTTGTTGTTGCCGATTTTCCATGTGTTAACCTGACACCCACGTGTGCTCTCAATCTCTCCTTTTCTCTCCCCTTATCAATAAATTACGATCAATGCATCAATATTGATAGTTTATAATTTAAAATACCTCTTTGCTGCCATAACTCGTAACACAACTGGATCAAATTTGCACAAAAAATTACAATAAAACCGCTTTTATGACCTTAAATATGAATCATAAACTTTGTATGGAAATAGTTATGCAGGTTTTGCCGTTACCGTAAGTTTTGTAATTTCGTGCACTGACATTTTGATGCAAAGCCCAAAGTAAATATCAGAATGTGCAGTGAAGCAGCTAATGGAAGTGTTGTGGATTATTCATGTCGGACCCAGGCTCTCGTTACAGTCTCCTGTTGCAACTTTGTACGCACACAAACAATGCGATTCTACATACATAATGTTATTATCATATTAAAAAGTATTTTCTTTGTAGTACTAGCAGTTGAAGTAGTAGGATTTGTTGCATTATAGAAATTTTAATGCAACTAATATGACTTTTCAATGAGTTGTATTAGTGTTTTAGAACTAGGAGCAGTAAAAGTAGAAGTCATTTTACAATTTTGAAACAGGTGTAAAAAGAAATGTATAAAATGTAAAATTCTGTGCAACTTTTCTAGTGTGGGACCCACCATTTGGTATTAAACTAATCCATTAAATTGGTCAGTTACGAGTGTTTTTGCAGCTTAATACCACTTTAAAAACATGCATTCTTTTGGTGAACAGGGTCGCCTCTCCACAGATCTTACCTGCAACCATAGAGTTGAGTTGGGATGTAGCGCAGTTCCCCTTTAAACATGTTTTTTCAGGGTTAAAAACTTGAAAGTGAAACATTCAGCTGCATTTAAAATTCTAAATCTGATAAAACTATCTTCAATATAGTAGGAAATTTAGTTGTAACTTCAGTCAGTAAGTAAATTTTAATTGTTTACAAAGTGGTAAAGTACTACATTTTCTGATGTGAGATTAGTTTCTACATATATAATGCATTTCTAGTAGTAGAGGAAGTATTAGTAGTAAGAAATTCTAGTCGTTGCAATAGTAATAGTGATAGAAAGAGATAGTAGTGGTGAAAAAGTAACATTTCATTTAATTTCTCTCCAGTGACTAGGTCAAGAATCGGAATACACTAGACAGTTTGCAAGAACCCCAGAAGTGCAAGTCCGGGCACCAGCCAATCAGCGCAGAGATATACATTCTGTGTTGGCAACGACTCCCGAGATCAAAGATTTAAAGCCGGAACCAAGAGAATGTTTGGTGAATTTTATGAAGGGAAAAGATGTTATTGCACTTCTTCTGACGGGATTTGGGAAAAGCTTAATATACCAGTTAGCTCCATTAACGTCATGACCAAATAGCAGCGATTGGTTAAATTAAAAAAAGTCCCCACCTACCACTGAGTGAACAAATTCTAATGCTGCGAAGTCAGACGGTTTCTACGAAGTGACACCGGCTGATGAATAAGGCTACGTAGAATCCATGGCACAGAGGGTTAGGGTTAGAAATTCAAAAAAAGTTTATTTGGTTGAAGACGTTTCTCTGCTCATCCAAGCTGTTTCTTTAGTTCTGGTCAGACGCTGGTGGACACTGCCTTATATCTGTCTGCAGGGAGGAGCTAACTACAGTGAAACTACTCTGAAACTAACACATCGACTTGTTTACAGTTTTTGTTATTTTGTTACACCATTTTGACCAGAACTGAAGAAGCAGCTTAGATGAGCTGCGAAACATATTAGACCAAATACATTTTTGTCCAGTTCTCCTTTTCCATTAAAGCTAGAGGTGGTAATAGTAGTAGTTTTGGTGGTAAAAGTTATAGTAGCGTAAGTAGTATGGATGTTAAAATTAGTGGTTGTAGTACAGTAATCTTTTTTTTTTTCTTTTTGCTTTGATTTCTATGGACATAACATATCTACCATTTGTTTTTTAACCTGGTAATATTTTTTTTGTTGCTATTTTATTGCAAGCCTACACATGCACTCTAAATAACCCTGGAGCTGTTGACGTTGTATTTACGTAATGGACAAATTCAAAATCTGATTAAAATAACTATTTTCCATATAGTAAGGGAAAGTATCTCTGTGTGTACTTATGTATGTAACGGAAAGTCTTAAGTATCATAAGCAATTTAGCTATAACTTAAAGGCAAACACATTTTCTTTTACCTTTTTAATAAGTAAAAGTCTTTTTTTTATTGTTTACAAGGTGGTAAAGAATAGTTTGGAGTTTACGCAGTACTAGTGGAAAGTACAAGAAGTGCTATCAGTTTCTACACACACAGATATCAGTCTGTCTCTAATTACAACCACAGATTTTTCTCACTACAACCTCATCTGGTACTACTACTATTTCTACAACTTGTACAACTACTATTACTTTTCCTACTGCAGTGTGTGTGTGGAAACTGAGAGAACATCTGCAAAAAGTGTCAAACATTTCTTATGAAGATTACACTAGACATTTGAATGAGATCGATGTGAAATGATATGAAATTGGCATTGTTTACAAGTCAAAATATGATAAAATGTAGAAAAAGTCATAAAAATATCTCTAAGCAATTTACAAGAGGTCGTAAGGAAAACTGTGCAAAGATGATATGATGATTGACAGGGCGTAGGGTTATCTGTTACATAAGGGTGAGTTCTTGTAAAGTTGTGGGGAGTATTGTATGAATGTAGTAGCCTGATTCATTAGCCAGTTTCACTTCGTAGAAAGAGTCTCGCAGCATTAGGATTCGTTCGCTCGACTGTAGGCGGGTAATTTTTTTATTTAACCAGTCGCTGCCATTTGGTGGTGAAGTATGTAATGCACCAAATCCTGTAGAAAGAAGGACAATAACGTCTTTCCCCTTGATAAAATTCACCAAACATTCTCTTTGTTTCAGCTTTAAATCCTCGATCTCGGGAATCGTCGCCAACACAGAACGTCTGTCTTCGTCTACATCCATCTCGACGCTTTGTTTACTGTCGTGCTGCACCACAAAAGGGACCCAGACAGGTGCTTGAGTTTGACGTCATGGCTTCACAGCTCTTCGCGGTCTACAGCTTTCAGGGTTTTTGCGAACCGTCTAGTGTATTTTGATTCCTGACCTAGTCGCTGGAGAGAAATGAAACTGAGCAAAGCAATTACATCACCATGGAGAAAAGCAAGTGGTGGACCCTCTTCCCAAAAACTTACACAATGCACCTTTAAAAAATTACCTCAATATTATAAGATTCTTTAGGACCCCCCTGACAAAGTAAATATGAAAATTTAAATGCTGAATGTTGGAAGAAATGTGGATCTATGGAGCAGAACCATTTCCGTGTATTTTGGGATTGCCCAGCATTACGACATGAAATACATAAAGCTCTAAACAGTATCACAATCTTGGACCGAAGAGGGGATATTAAACTATTACGGGCAATTTTAGCAGCCAGCAAGAAATCAATAACTAAGAAATGACTAAATCCAACTTCTCCAACACTTGAGGACTGGTTCGGTATAAGTTTAGAAATATTTAAAATGGAAAAAATGGCATATACTCTAAGAACCAAAAGGGACAAATTCTACAAGATCTGGGGAAAATTAATCTAGTTTGTATCCTTGATTTTGATTGACTCGTGTAAATGTATCATGTAATATTCATGGATCTTCTGACTTCACTATTCAGTCAGAAAAGGAGTACGATTTTTGATGATGATGATGTCAACCTTTTCTACTAAAAAATGAATCTCATGTTTGTTATTATTGTTTTTGTTTGTGCAGGCAGGGAGCGATGGAGAGAGCATTGGAAACTGTCCGTTCTCACAGCGTCTCTTCATGATCCTGTGGCTTAAAGGGGTCGTGTTCAACGTCACCACAGTGGATCTGAAAAGGTGACAGAGCGCTCATAGAGTTACACTGGACACACAGGAGAGGCCGGAGCACTTAGGGGCTTGTGTTACCTGCGGGGAGGAAGCAGTGTTGAGGTCAAATGATGCTGTGATTTAACCCGGTCGGGGCTATTAGCGGAATAAAACAGGTCACAAGACACAAGAGACGTTGGGGTTTAGTGGGTCACAGACTAGAACTGTTAAAGGTCGAGATTAAGATACTAAGTGATAATAAAACTGGATACTAACAAAAAAGGAGTTACAGACTAGTCAGAAGTTGAAATAAAGACACTAAATGATCATAAATGTAACTAAATGATGATAAAACTAGATACTATTTTGAACAAGTCTAGATACGAACATAAACAGAACAAATTTTTACCTTTCCCAAACTGTTTCGATCTCGATCCTGTCTCCCTGATTTCAGAGAGAGTGATTGACAGGTGGATTAACCAATGAGACGCATCTCCGTTCTCATAAAAACAATGTCGGGAATGAAAGGAAAAAAAACAAACAAAACAGAGGCAGTCCTCAGTGTAGATTTTTGCAGAATCAACAATCAGGGCACTAAACTATTAGCCACCTAGTGTCTTTTCTCAATTTCATTTCTCTCCAGCATCTAGGTCAGGAATCAGAATACACGGTGACGGTTCACAAAAACCCAGGAAGTGTGAGTTTGGGCACCAGCCAATCAGTGAAGAGCCATATATTCTGTATTGGCAAAGATTCCCAAGATCGAGGATTTAAAGCTGGATCAAAGAGAATGTTTGGTGAATTTTATCAAGGGAAAGACATTATTGCCCTTCTTCCTATGGGATTTGGGAAAAGCTTAATATACCAGTTAGCCCCGCATTACATATGTCATGACCAAAGAGCAGCAATTGATTAAAAGAAAAGAAGTACCCACCTATCGTCGAGCAAACGAATCCTGATTCTGTGAGGTCAGACGGTTTCCACGAAGTGAAACCAGTTGATGAATCAGGCTACTAAACTATTACTTCTTTAAAGTAAAAGTAGTTATATATTTTGTTCTGAATGATAAAAAAATTTGCAGCTGTGTTTGGATCGTCTCAAGTTTGGACGGAGATTTTTCATGCTCTGTTGTCCAGTTCGAGAACCTTCTGGATTTGAACAGAACGTAGAAGAGAGAAGAGAGGACTGGCAGTCTCGCTCAGGGCAGCTGTGACTATTGCAGTAGCTTAATAGAATGAATAATGCACTGTAAAGCGCATTGTGTATACTGAACAACTGTTTTTTTAATGCTCCTACAATAAAAAAAGAAAGAGCAAAGAGCCTTTAACTTTAAAGCCCCAATTGAATGGAACAACTTGCCCTCCTCAATCCACTCAATTACATCGCTCCACCATTTTAAGGCATCAGTCTTTAGATACTTACAAACATCCTGCTCCTGTTTTTCATACAGATACATTTTTCTTCTATGTACTTTCTGTTGTACACAGAGTTGCTTTTTCTCATTATTTTACAAATATAGGTGTAGGCATGATAAAATCTGAGACATGTATATCTTAGGATCCTGTACTGTATAGTGTGAATAGTGTAAATTTGAATGAACCCATTTGTTGGTCACTGTTGTAGCTCCTTGTTGTGGCATTACTCCGTTTTTACCCTCTGCTACAAACTTAATCATGCGCAGTCTTGATCTTGATCGATGTTTCTACTGCTCGATAAATAATGTCTGTGAAGTGATGACGTATTTTTGACAGTAAAGTCCTGTCTGTGAATTCAATATTCGTACTGATGAAAGTGTAATTGTAAAATTTCATTCCGTGATTGTACTTCTTGACGTTGTAACTTTTCAATTCGTATTCTGATGGATAAAATACACACAGTATATTTTATGTACGACTGGGCTCATTCCAGAGTTTACAAATATTTATTTTATGCGCAACTACAGCCAAATATGCATGGATTTCTTTTCACGGATTCTATGAATATTATTCACGAATATTTCTGAAAACTTTCTTACTCCATAGACTGCTGTCTGGGTGTTGTGCGAATGTTGTCTTTGTGTTGTGTTTGCCTTTTGTTTTGTTTTTTTCTTTCTTTTCTGTAAATGCTGTTTTTGTTAATGTATTTCGGACCCCCTCTCAAACTTCTCTTCCCTTATAAATAAAGAAAATAAATATGTGTACTATCATACCACAAACAATAAGTAATAATCATTTTTATCTTTTTTTTTTTTTTTTTTAATCTATTCTATTATCTTGTCAATAGAAAACCAGCAGATCTCCATAACCTGGCCCCCGGGACTCACCCTCCGTTCCTCACGTTCAATGAAGAAGTCCTCACCGATGTCAACAAGATCGAGGAGTTTCTGGAGACCATGCTGGCTCCACCAAAGTACTCCTCAAATACTTCATAAATATTAAACGAGGAACTGCGTTATTAGAGTATATTGTTAATTGCTTATGTTTTCCTCAGATATCCAAGACTGGCAGCAAGAAACCGTGAATCCAACACGGCCGGGATCGACATCTTTGCAAAATTCTCAGCGTATGTGAAAAATACTCGGCCCGATAAACACAAAGGTAAAATATTTTAAAAAATTATAGGTGTAGTGCAGTTGTAGTAATAATCTTAGCAGAAAGAGTAATAACAGCTGTTCTTGGTGCTGCCTGTAACACGTCTGACTGAAATGCCTTTATTATATATTTTTTTTCTGTGCAGGTTTGGAGAAGAGTCTGAACAAAGCTCTGTCGAAACTGGACGAGTATCTGATCAGCCCTCTGCCCGACGAGGACGGACACGAATCCAACCGAAAGTTCCTGGATGGAGACGACCTCACGCTGGCAGACTGCAACCTCCTCCCAAAACTACATGTGCTCAAGGTTAAACAAGAATATTTTTGTATATTCATGATTAGGCACAACACTACAATGGATTTTGGCAATAACACAGTCTTAGAAACAGCAAAAATGGGTACGGATTTGAATTTATTTGTAAAGTTAGAGATTTTAGATTAAAGTTGGCTCTAGTTGTGTCCTAGTTTTAGTCCTGTTTAGTTTTGGTTTAGGGCAGCTTTTGTTTTATCTGTATCTAAGTAGTGTAGCTCCTATGGTAGTTAGTCGCGGTCCTATTAGTTTTAGTCCTGTCGAGAGGAGCCAGTTTTCGGGCATCTGTTTCGGATGTGGGGCGGGAGGTGTTCTGGGCTTTGGACACGTGGAGGGAATGTCTCTTCTGGCCTGGTCGGGTGAGCTGGAACGTGTCTGGGGTGAAGGAAGTCTATCTGTAGGCTGCTGCCCCGCGACCGGCCCCTAAGCGGACGAAAATGGAGGATAGATGCTTTAGACCACTGATAGTCTTGGTTAGACTTGCATTAGACCTGATTTAGACCTGGTTTGATCCTGGTTTAGTGCTACTGTAGCTCTTGTAGGGTGTTCCTGGGTTGCAATAATCATTATCTATCAGCTTTAGACTCCTAAATTAGGTTCCTAAATTAGACCTAGTTTAGTCCTATTTTAGTCCTGTTTTAATCCTGTTTTAGTCCTGTTTTAGCACTGGTTTAGTCCTGTTTTAATCCTGTTTTAATCCTGGTTTAGTCCTGGTTTAGTCCTGGTTTAGTCCTGGTTTAGTCCTGGTTTAGTGCAGCTCTTCTGGATGTTCCCTCTATTTGTAATAATCATTGTTGATTAGATAATCATTATCATCTTTATATTCCTAAATTAGGTTCCTAAATTGGACATAGTTTAGTTTTGTTTTAGTCCTGTTTTAATCCATCTTTAGAGCTGGTTTAGACCTGGTTTTAACAGTTCTTATAGGGTGTTCCCGGTCTGCAGTGGACTGTAGACGTGATTTAATCCTGATTTAGTCCTAGTTTAGACCAGATTTAGACCTGGTTTGGTCCTGGTTTAGTACTACTGTAGCTCTTGTCGGGTGTTCTTGGTTTGCAGTAGTCATTATCTGTCAGATTTAGATTCCTAAATGAGTTTAGTCCTTGTTTAGTCCTGGTTCAGACCTGGTTTAGTTCTTGTTTAGCCCTTCTTTAGTGCTGTTCTTATAGGGTGTTCCCGTCTGCAGGGGCTAGTATGTGCCAGGTGCTGTAGACCTGATTTAATCCTGACTTAGTCCTGGTTTAGTCTTGGTTTAGTCCTGTTTTATTGCAGCTCTTGTGGTGTTTGCAGTGATATATCACTCTGAAGACACAACACTGTTTTCTTTACTATAATAACATATTATTTTCTTATCATCTTACTTTTTTTTTTTTTTTTTTAGGTTGTGGCGAAGAAATACAGAAACTACAGCATCCCGTCCGAGTTCAGAGGAGTGCTGCGTTACCTTAGCAACGCCGGCAGCAGGGACGAGTTCACCAACACGTGTCCCGCCGACGCCGAGATCGAGCTGGCCTATAAGGACGTGGCCAAGAGGCTGGGGAAATAAAGAGGATTCAGTTTAAATTAAAAAGTTCATGTGACAGGTTAGACTACTCAGGATTCCATTAAAACACTAAAAACTCTAATTATTTAATTAAGGCGATGTTTATAAGTTTTACTTCCTGGTTGGAGCTCACTGTTACCTAGCAACCATAATGTCAACAAGAGCCAAAGCTTGTCTAAATTATACAATAGTTATGATTAGACTAATACAGCAGTTTTATTTTGTTAAAGCTGCAATGTGTAACTTCGCGGTTGGGGGTTTGTCAGCTGCTTGTTTCTATGGATACGTCATTGCGCTGCCTGGAATGTTCCACAGTACGGCATTAAACAGCTGGTTTTGCTGCAAAAAGAAAAGAAAACTGACAAAAAAATGATAGTTTCAACATTCATTTCACAAAGTAGATGTGTTGTAATTTATTATTTTGTTAGTATAATCATAACTATTGAGTAATTTATTTATTTTAGTTATTTATTTTGGCCCTTGGTGACATTACAGTTGCTAGGTAACAGTTAAAATCAAACTACTTAAGTCGCTTGTGTTTCCCGTGTCCAACCGGGAAGTAAAATGAGTCCGACCTGTCATATGTATTTTAAAGATGACCACTGGAACATTTTATTTTTTGTCTTCGGGTGCGTTCATACTTCTCCTTTTTTGGTCCAAATGTAGACTTGGTTTGGTCCTGCTCTAGTCCTGGTCTAGTCCAGGTTTAGTCCCAGTTTTGATGCGGTGATTTTTAAAAGTTGCCCTATATATTTACAAACACGTTTTTATTTTTCTTATTTGATATTAAAAGTTTCTTTTCACTCAAAATGATCAATTTAAATATTAAGTTAAGTTAAGCGTGACTCACTAATGTTATAGCCAGAAGGTTTTGGGTTCAAACCTCAAGGCGACAAAAAAGAAAATTTGCTTTATGATTAAAATCGAACTTTTTAGTCATTTTTGTGGTTATGATACAAAAATAATATTATGTCATCTTGTAATTGTTCTGATATACTGTAGATTAAAACCTGAAATGTTAAAATTTGTCATATTTTTGAGTATCAATACTTTTTCAATACAATTTTTTAACGTTTAACATTTCAATATCGTCTCAAAACTGACCTATATTGCTACGTAACAGGGTTTTTTTCACCCTATAGTCAGTTTATCCTGTACTACCCTAAGTAAACATTTTTTTTCAATACGGCATAGTTGTAATTCCCTTGTTGGTGTGATTTATTGGCTGTATTCTGAATTGCAGAGCTGCAGTAGCCAAAGTAATGAATCTTATAGAGGACATTTCCGGGTTATTTTCGTGTTTGTAGCTTATTGTTTTGTTTTATAATCTTTACAAGAATAACCTGATTTCCTGTGAATTTGAAACGCTTATTTAATTATGCGTTTAAAGGTAGTCTGTGTAACTTTTCGGTCGCCTGTTTCTATGGAGATGTCACTGCTTTGCATAGAATGTTCCACAGTGTGACATTAAACAGCTCTACTTTACATTTATTCAGTTTTATTCAATTACAGATGGTTTCATAGCTCAAAAATAACTAAAAAAAACCAAGCATTCTGACTGTGAGTGGGTCGCCTCTCCACAGATCTGACCTGTAACTCGGTTTAATTTGGTCTCCGTGACGACAGAAAGGTTTAACGCCACACTGCGAAACATTTTAGACAATAACATCTTCATAGAGAGAAGCATTTGGCAGAACGTCCACCAGAAAAGTTACGCAATGCACCTTTAACAAATCTTGTATTAAAGGTTGTATGGAGGATTTTTTTTTTTAGTTTAAAATTGTCATTGAAAGTTTAAAATACCATTACAGAGACGCAGCAGCTTTTAATTATGATGACCGAAAAAAAAAGAAAGAATGAAAATCTATCAGTTGTGGACGTAGTGAGGCCAGATAAACATCAGCCAATAGAAAACGAGGCTCCCTCTTTTTCTATTGGCTGTTAGGTTGTCAGTCAAACTCCCTACATTTTTAGTGTAACTGACTCGTCGGCGCTCGGGGATTATGTGGTTTATGCAGCGGTTCTTTGAGGCTTTTTCAAACTGTTGCTTCCTTGCAATTCGCACAAAGTTTGTTGCGATGGCGGACGAGAATCCAAGACCAGTTCGCCGCAAAAGAAAGTCCGAAGGGTCTAAAAACTGACGCGTCGGTCGCTAAAATATTTCTAGGCAGGTCACTTCAACAGTAATTCTGAACATGCACTGGATGTAAACAAATGTGATTTCTAGAGTAAAGAGGCGGGAGGAGATGTTTCTACTGAGGAAGGTGGTGTCACGCATGCGCAACATTTGAAAAAGGACTATCGCTGTATTTCGCTTCCCTTAAAAAATCCTCTATACAACCTTTAAGCTGTACAAGGAAATAACCTACTTTTTATAGTAGTGGTTGGTTTTGATTCTAGGCTGCGTTAGTCCGTTGCTTTACTTATAAACCTGTAAATTATAAATGTTTAAATGTAACTTGGATGTAAAAGGTAACTTATAAATAATAGAGAGATACCTAGTCGAGATCAGAACACTGTGTAAGACATGCTTTTCAAAATCTGCAACGATAGAACCAAGAGCTGATGTGTATATGATGATTATTTGCGTAATAAATTTATTTTCTCACATATTTGTCTTTGTGTTATTTGAAACTATTGAGTAAATGTAGTTTTTGCTTGCATTAACTTGGTCTCATTGTTCTTTATATGTTCCAGCCAGAGGTGGGTTGTACTTTTTTCATTTTTATTGAAGTAAAATTTTGGTTCCTTTTCCCAGAAGTGGCAAAAGCTTCATGTTGACAATATGAACTGATTTGAACATTTGTGTTTCTTTAATCCAATCCAGTCCAACTTTATTTGTATAGCACATTTTATAAACAAGACAGTTTCCAAAGTGCTTCACATAGCAATATAAAATATTTTACTTAAAAAAAAAAAATCAGCAGAATTATGTTACAACCGTGAGGAAACTAATAGAATCAATAAATAAAATAATAATAAAATCAATAAACAAAAATAATAAAATAAATACATAAAAATAGATCAAAACAATAAATAAAATAAAAAAAAAATAATAAACTAAAATAAAAACAATAAAATTTAAAAAAAAGTAAATGAACAAAAATAATAAAATAAATACATAAAAGCAGTAAAAAGGTAAGTAAAAAAAACATCAAAACAATAAATAAAATAAAAACTATAAAATAAAAATAAAACAAAGTAAAACAAAATAAAACAGAAAAAATAAAATAAAAACAATAAAATAAAATACAAACAATACAATAAAAAATAATTAATACATTTAATTAAATTTAATTAAGGGAAATAAAATAAAATAGACACAGAGGACCACACAACTCACGTGGCATTAAAAGCCAGAGAATAAAAATGTGTCTTAAGACTTCTTAAAATGCTCCTTCATATATGATTTAGTTTGTCTAGTTTTTGTGTCTCTATCCTTTGAAAATTCCAGCTATTGTGCATTAATTTATGTTTTGTCTTTTGAATTACATTAACTCCAAATTATAAATCTAATATTATGTCCTGACAGTTACACTTTAAGTTTTTCTTTTTTTTGTTTTTGTTTTTACCTCTTACTCTCATAATCTTGTACAAATATTTCTATATACACTAAATTGTAATTACATTTTGCAGCACATATAGCAGCTAACTTCTAACTTACTCTATCCACCCCTGGCTCCAGCCTATGTTTAGTAAATTAAAATCTCTTTAAAATTGGTCATTGTCAGGCTTACATATGGATTTAAAGGTGCATTGTGTAACTTTTGTGGTACAGGGTCTGTCAAAGGCTTGGCAAACCCGCTCAGAGTCAGAATGTTTGATTTTCTGGGTATTTTTGAGCTCTAAATCCACCTGTAATTGAATAAACGTACGGCAGAGCTGTTTAATGTCACACTGTGGAACTTTCATTGCTTTAACTAAGAGCAAGATAAAATCAAATAGGCTACATTAAAAAATAGGCTTACATTGTAGAGACTGGCAAATGTGGAACCAGTAAAATAAATGTCTACAAAAAGAAGGAAATGAGAGAAAGTGTAATTACTCAACATGGCCAGCAGATGGAGCAAATGCTGTATGTTTTATAAGGTGAAACAGCAGGAACTTGGAGTTAGGGACCGTCTACAATTTCGCAATATATATAGATTTTTTTTTTTTTTTTTTTTTTTTCTCTCGAGTCATGGGCTATTAAAAGAAGCCTTGATATAATACATATATATAAAAAAAATCAAGGCTCCTTTTAATAAACCCTAACTCAAGTCGTAGGCAAATACACCTGTTTATAATAAAAGAACTGTGTCAAGTATTACCAGTTTTATTTATTTATTTATTTATTATATTACTTGCATAACATGTGACAAAAAAGAAGACAGTAGATAAAAAGTAGGTACAGAAGAGGCAAAACATAAGAGATTTTATGAATTAAAGCCTCCACCTCATGATGACATAAATTAAACATAGCTGTGTATTAAGCTGTGTATTTTCTTGTTTTAATTGTATCCAAAATCCTTAGAAAATAAATAAATAAAAATAATTAATTAAATAAAAAGCTAAATTACATTCTTATTGAAATACTTGTCAATTACACCATCTTTTAAAAGCTGAAACAATTAGAAGTATCCTTTCATAAGTGCTTGAAAACTGACAGAACAGGCACAAATTACCGTACCAAACAAGCTCCTCAGGTCTTTCCAGAATGCACAGTGGAATATTATATTTTAAGGAATAACATACCGTGAAGAATAGCTTGACAAGTCTCTCGTCCAGGCCAAATAGGAGTCACAACCAAAAAGAAAAGTACAAAAAAATACAACCGTACTTTTATTATAGTTTATTTTTGTCTATAACATTACATACTGTGGCTTTACAAATAAATTTTTATCAACTTATGGATCTTTTGTTGACACCTGAATATGTAAACCTATTAAAACAAAGCTCAAACAAAACAGATGAAGTTTTACTAAAGAAAACTGCACATGTCCTTGGAATAATGTATTCATTTTTTGTTTTTGTGCTGAAAACCAACATAGATGTAGTTTAGTAAAGAAAACTGCAGGTGTCCTTGGAATAATCTGTTAGGTTTTTTTTTTTTTTTTTTGGTTATTAAAACAAAACTTAAGACCAACATAGATGAAGCTTAGTAAAGAAAACTGCAGATGTCCTTGGAATAATTTATTAGTTTTTCATTTTTATGAAATTAAAACAAAACTCAAGACCAACACAGATGAAATTCACTAAAGAAAACTGCAGATGTTTTTGGAATAATTCATACATTTTTCGTTTTTATGAGATTAAAACCAAGCTCAAGACCAACACAGATGAAGTTTACTAAAAAAACTGCACATGTCCTTGGAATAATTTATTAGTTTTTTTGTTATTAAAACAAAGCTCAAGACCAAAATAGATGAAGTTTTACTAAAGAAAACTGCAGATGTCTTTGGAATAATTCATACATTTTTCGTTTTTATGAGATTAAAACCAAGCTCAAGACCAACATAGATGAAGTTTTACTAAAGAAAACTGCAGACGTCCTTGGAATAATTTATAAGCGTTTCGTTTTTATGAGATTAAAGGAAAGCTCAAGACCAATATAAGATGAAGTTTACGAAAGAAAACTGCACATGTCCTTGGAATAATCTATTAGTTTTTTGTTTTTGTGCTGAATGCCAACATAGATGTAGTTTAGTAAAGAAAACTGCAGGTGTCCTTGGAATAATTTATAAGTTTTTTTTTTTGTTCTTTTGTTATTAAAACAAAGCTCAAGACCAACATAGGCGAAGAAAACTGCAGATGTGCTTAGAAGAATTTATTAGTTTTTAGTTTCTGTGCTATTAAAACGCAGCTCGAGACCAACGTAGCTGAAGTTGACTAAAGAAAACTGCAGATGTCCTTGGAATAATCTATTAGTTTTTCGTTTTTAGGCTTGTGGCTCACATAGTGCCGGTCCCTGCGCCGTGTGGAGTGGGCAGTACATTACACTCGTGCTCTGCCTGGAACAATCTCACCGCCGCTGTCTTTTTCAACACCTCGACGCCTTTCCCCCGTCCCTCTATCGGATATTTCCACACATTTCCCCGGGCTTTCGCGAATCCCTGCACGGCCACTCCATACCAGAGGCTCGGTAAGTCATGATTTTACGTTTGGACGCCGCTGGATGCGCTTTTTTCCACGCTATTGTTGAAGCCGCGGCGAGCAGACGCAGCGTTAGACTTGTCATTGCGGTGATAGGGGCTCCTGTGCGTTTTGTTGTCATGTGGATATCGGCGGCTGGAAACCTCAAAGCTTACCATCCCTAGCCTCAAAACAAAGCTACGAGTGCCCACTGTTTATATTAAAGCGCTACAACACGGCTAGCTTGCGTATATTACAAGAAATAGCACGGAAAAGCTAATGTTACTGCTAGCCGCTTGTTTTGGGGTCTATAATCAAGCGCAGCCGAAGACGCGAGAGTCTCCCCTTGTTATTACACAGTAGCCATGCTTATTTTATGGTAGCTGTCGGATAATTACGACTGAAATCTTGTCATTTAACTGGATATAAACGCGCTTTTATCTGGCAACATCATCAGCGCGGATAAAAGGGGGAACAGGTAGCCTCTGCACTACGCGTAAAGCCGTTTATTTAGAAACTATGCCGTCATTAACCTGTAATAACATTGAAATAAATCGGATTTATATGCAGGAATAGGGTGTTTAAAGCGAAGCTAAAACGCCAAATGTGTAGCTGGTAAGGTTACTGGCTTATCTTGTACTGAACTAGCACCAAAATGTGTTAAATCAAAGTAATATTGACAAAATGGGTACTTAAAGCAGCGCGTTTTGGCGTGCGTAAACATCATTATTTCCATTATCACGCTGCTACTTTGCGTGTTGTAATGATAAATTGCGTTTTCTCACAATATCCTCTTATCATGCTTCCATGTAGAGACTGATTGACCGTCCAGAGGTGACGCATTGACGCCCCCCTCGTCTGTATAAAAGGGGTCTTTGAGTAGGTTTTTTTTTTTTTTTTTTCCTGGAGGTCCCTGGATTATAAATTGCGGGTGAAGGGAGATTGGCTGGCGTGCTTCACTGGCCAAAGGGGGCTGTGTGGTTGTGTGTTTAGGTCTCTACTTGTGGGGTATGCAGAGAGGTAAGATGAGGTAGACTGTACAGCGAGACTTTAGTTGATTTGGTAGGGATAAGTAGTCTGTACAGTAATACTTAAACTGATCTGGTCTAGTCCTGGCTTGGTTTAGTCCTGTTGTAGACACTTGATTTAGTCTGGGTTTAGTCCTGTTCTAGTCTTGGTTGAGTTCTGTTCTAGTCCTGGCTTTTGTCCTGATGTAGACTTGGTTTAGTCCTGTCTTGGTGTAGTCCTGTTCTAATCCTGGTTTAGTGCTGTCTTTGTTGAGTCTTGGTTTAGTCACGTTCTAGTCTTGGTTTAGTCCTGTTCTAGTGCTGGTTTAATCCTGTTCTATTCCTGGTTTAGTCTGGGTTTAGTCCTGGCTTGGTTTAGTCCCGGTTTAGTCCAGATGTAGGCTTGGTTTGGTCCTGTTCTAGTATTGGTTTAGTTCGCTTTAGGATGGTTGTGTGTTTAGGTTGCTATACACACTGTTGATTTGGTCCAGGTTTAGTCCTGTTCTAGTCCTGGTTTAGCCTGGGATTTAGGCCTGGGTTTTTCCTGATGTAGGCTTGATTTAGTCCTGTTCTTGTCTTGGTGTAGTCCTGTTCTAGTCCTAGTTTAATCCTGTTCTATTCCTGGTTGAGTCTGAGTTTAGTCCTGATGTAGACTTGTTTTAGTTTTATCTTGGTTTAGTCCTGTTCTAGACTCAGCTGTGTGTTTAGGTTACTTCTTGTGGTGTGTACAGAGTGACAGGGGTAAAAGTAATCTGTACAGTAATGCTTAAATTGATCTGGTCTAGTTCTGGCTTGGTTTAGTCCTGATGTAGACTTGGTTTGATCCTGTTCTAGTATTGGTTTAGTTCCGCTTTAGTCTTGGTTGTGTGTTTAAGTTGCTTCTTGTGTATGCGGAGAGGTAGGGTAGGTAACACACCCGTAACACTGTTGATTTGGTCCGGGTTTAGTCTCGTTCCAGTCCTGGTTTAGTCCTGTCTTTGTTGAATTGTGGCTCAGTGCGGTTCTTGTCTTGGTGTAGTCCTGTTCTACTCCTGGTTTAATCCTGTTCTAGGTCTGGTTTAGTCTTGGTTTTAGGCCTGGTTTTGTCCTGATGTAGTCTTGGTTTATTGTTGTCTTAGTTTAGTACTGTTCTAATCCTGGTTTAGTCCTGATGTAGACTTGGTTTAGTCCTGTTCCAGTCTTGGTTTAGTCCTGTTCTAGTCCTGGTTTAATCTTGTTCTATTCCTGGTTTAGTCCTGTTCTAGTCCTGGTTTAATCTTGTTCTATTCCTGGTTTAGTCTGGGTTTAGTCCTGGTGTTGTCCTGATGTAGACTTGGCTTAGTCCTTTCTTGGTGTAGTCCTGTTTTACTCCTGGTTTAGTCCTGTTTTTGTTGAGTCTTGGTTTAGTCCTGTTCTAGTCATAGCCTCCGTTTAGTCCTGTTCTAAACCAGGACAAGTCCCAGTTAAATCCTAGTTAAGTCGTGGTTACGTTGTGGTTATGTCGTGGTTAAGTCCCGGTTTAGTCCTATAGTCTTAGTTTAGTCCTATAGTCTTAGTTTGATCCTATAGTCTTAGTTTAGTCCTATAGTCTTAGTTTAGTCCTATAGTCTTAGTTTAGTCCTATAGTCTTAGTTTAGTCCTATAGTCTTAGTTTAGTCCTATAGTCTTTAGTTTGATCCTATAGTCTTAGTTTAGTCCTATAGTCTTAGTTTGATCCTATAGTCTTAGTTTAGTCCTATAGTCTTAGTTTGATCCTATAGTCTTTGTTTGATCCTATAGTCTTTGTTTGAGTCCTATAGTCTTTGTTTAGTCCTATAGTCTTAGTTTTTAGTCCTATAGTCTTTGTTTGATCCTATAGTCTTTGTTTGATCCTATAGTCTTTGTTTGATCCTATAGTCTTTGTTTGATCCTATAGACCTTGTTTAAGTCCTGTTCTAGACTTGGTTTTGTACTGATCTAGCTTTAGTTCTATTCTCGTCTTAATCGGTCCTGGTCTAGTCTTGGTTTGGTCCCGCTCTAGTCCAGGTTTAGTTCTAGCTTTTATCCCAGTTCAGTTTCATGTGGTCTATATATAAAGATAACCTATGCTTATTTTATTCTTATCTGTGTAGTGATAATTGCTTTACTGACTTAATTGCTGACCATTTTGTGTATTTTACTACAACATGAACTTTTTACTGTTGCTTCAGGAGTCGTACCTATGATATAAACGGAGTTAAATTACACTTAATACGACAGCGGACACTAGAAATGTTTAAAATACAGTGGATAATTGTCCTCTTTAATTGGCCGATCCTTCACTGCTGCCATGGCAACCTATAAACTTGATAAGGCTAGTCTTCTATCGTCCTTATTTCTTCTTCTCTGATATTTTTACAGTTAAATTTGTTAATTCTTCATAGAAAATGTTCAAATGGGTCACTCAAGGTTGCCCCAGGAGCACTGAAGGACGGGTCAAATGCAGAGGAGAGACTTTCCTGTACGATAGTAAATAATACGTAACTATGTAACTTGAAACTAAAATATCTGTACTATTCTTGTACAAATTCAGCTAAATAAAGTGGTTATCTGAAATATGTTGGTAATAGTGTTGTCACGATACTAAAATTTCAAACTTGATTTCAATACTAAGGAATAGACTTAGACTATTCAATACTGATTCTATACCCATGATGAAAAAAATTCTTTATTTTCAACATTAAATCATAGTACTGTATTTTTTGGACTATTAAGTCACTCTGGAGTATAAGTTGCACCTGTCAAAAATGCATAATGAAGAAGAAAAAAACATATATAAGTTGCACTTGTGGGGGGAAATGTATTTTATAAAATCAGAGACCAGGAACTTACATTTCATCTTGAGAGTCAAGTTCTAGTAAAAAACAATAGAAAAGAGAACAAAAGACTGTCAACGTCACATATGAACAGTTCTTCAGATAAACTATAACATAAACAACAGAACAAAACAAGTTTAACAAACTCTCCATCTCACTCCAAATCACTAAATCCATTGAATTCTTTATCCGCGGTGTCACTTCTGAGCAACAGAGCGTCACTTCCTCTTCTGTGTAGCTGTTGTGAGACTCCGCATCAGTTCCAGTTAGAATTATTTCGGTCTTTCTGAATCCCGACAGGATGGTTTCAGTGTCACTGAAGTCCAGGCTTTGCTGATCCATCCAATGACTTCAGGAAAGTTGCATGGTGCACCCTCCCAGTGTCACAAGTTTCTCGTTCGATCCAAACTTTCTTTCTGCTGCTCGATTACCATTTTTAGCTGAATGTTTCGCTACTTACAGAAGGACAGAGACTCTTTCTGCAGGAGACATGCGCAGTAGAGTACAGGAGTAACAGGAGCAGCAGATACTGACACACAAGACTAGAGCCTCTTACGACTGTCAGTGTGAAAATTTTAATATATAAGTCGCAGGAATCACCCAAACCATGAAAAAAAGTGTGACTTATAGTACTGTACTTTCTTTTAGATTCCCACCTGGTCTTATATCTGTGTAATCCCTCAGTGGTCCAGGTAGGTTCCATACTGGTCCATGGTTCTGCTCTAGTCTTGGTTTAGTCCTGGTCTAGTCCTGATGTAGACCTGTCTTGGATTATTCTTGGTTTTGTCCTAATGTAGACTTGGTTTGGTCCTGTTCTAGTCTGTACAGTAATACTTAAAGCGTAACATTGTTGATTTGGTCCTGGTTTAGTCTTGTTCTAGTCTTGATTTAGTCCTGCTCTAGTCCATTGGCTCTTATACTTGTTCTGATACAGCTCAAGATCATTCTAAAACTATTCAGGAAAGCTTCATTTCTGTCCCGTGAACGTGACTTTTTTAGTATCGATACTTGCTCAAACGAGTCTCCAGCTTCGAAACTAGTTTTAGCATCCGATTTTTGATACTCTCCTAACTTGGATCTAATTGAGCTGAATAAATATAACTGATTAAATGTTGCTCTTGTCCGCGGGGTTGGCTTGGAGACGGTTGGCACGCAGCAGTGTGGAACATTTGGCCTTTCTGAATTAAAGG